TAAAGTAAATAAATTACACGGGCTGCACGGTGACGCAGTGGTTAGAATACTCAAAGAATACATAGCTCCACCCACTCCTGCCATCATACATTAGACCTTGTGCTGCCTTATGGCATAGAGTGTGAGGAAGTAACAATATTTCCGCATAATCCAGTCCTCTCGGACCACTTTCTGATAACCTTTGAGTTTTTTATAACTGAGTTCTCGAGACATGAAAATAAATTTCACTATAGTCGGTCTCTATCTGACAATGCAGTTGCGTCTTTTAAATCAACTGTTCCATCTTTACTGTCCTCAGCATCTCAGAGGAACGTATCAGAGGGCAATATTTTCAGTTCTAGACCCTCACAAATTGATGCTTTAGTTCATCATGTTAATTCCTCTTTACGTGTGGCATTAGATGATGTTGCCCCTTTAAAAAAGAAGGTAATTAGGGACAGGAAGTTGGCTCCCTGTTTAATTCTCATTTACGAGCTTTAAAACAAAACTCTAGGAAATTGGAGAGAACATGGCGATCTAAGCACCATGAGGAGGCCTACCTATCCTGGAAAAATAGTCTTGTGCTTTATAAAAATAAGCTTCAACAAGCTAGAACTGCTTATTTTTCATTGCTAATTTAAGAGAATAAGAATAATCCTAAATTTCTTTTCAGTACAGTTGTCAAACTTACACAGAATCATAGCTCTGAACCATCTATTCCCTTAGCCCTCAGCAGCAATGACTTTATGGGATTTTTTACAAGTAAAATTAATTCTATTAGAAACAAAATCTTTAGCATCCTTCCTAATGTGATTTCTTCTTCCTCAGTAAGTGAGGCAGCATCAGAGGTAACTGTAGAACCTCATCTGTAATTGAACCGTTTTGATCCAGTTGAGCTTTCAGAGTTATCAAAAATAGTAGCTTCATCTAAACCTTCCACTTGCACTTTAGATCCAATCCCAACCAAATTATTTAAAGAAGCATTTCCTTTGGTTACTGCCCCCATTCTAGATATAATCAATCTATCCTTAGTAAATGGATATGTACCACAGGATTTTAAGGTTGCTGTAATCAAACCTTTTCTTAAGAAGCCTTCTCTGGATCCAGATGACCCAATGAATTATAGACCAATATCTAACTTCCATTTTTACCCAAAGTCCTGGAGAAAATAGTGGCCATCCAAGTATGTGAGCATTTAAACACTAATGCTCTGTTTGAGGAATTTCAGTCTGGTTTTAGAGAGTATCACAGCACTGAAACTGCATTAGTGAGAGTTACAAATGATATTCTCATGGCCTCAGATAAGAATCTTGTGTCTGTTCTAGTCTTGTTAGATCTCAGTGCTGCCTTTGACACAGTTGATCACAATGTTCTTTTAGAAAGACGAACATGTTGTAGGGATCAAAGGAACAGCGCTAGCCTGGTTTAAATCATGCCTGTCTGATTTTGTAAACGTACATGACAAATCGTCTTCATACTCCAGGGTTACTTGTGGAGTACGACAGGGCTCAGTGCTTGGACCATTTTTTATTTACTATATATATGCTCCCAATTGGTAAAATCATTAGACAGCATGGGATAAACTTCCATTGTTCTGCTGACGATACTCGGTTATATTTATCCATTAACCCTGATGAACCTAATCGGTTAGTTAGATTACAGGCTTGTCTTGAGGACATAAAACATTGGATGACTCAAAACTTTTTGCTTTAAAATCAAGACAAGACGGAAGTTCTCATCTTTGGACCTGAAATTCAGAAAAGGAAATTGCTTAGTCAATCACCTGACCTGAATGGCATTACATTAATCTCCGAGAACAAAGTAAGGAACCTTGGTGTTATCTTTGACCAGGACATGTCATTCAAATCCCAGGTTAAACAGGTTTGTACCAGCTCCCAGCTTTAGTCCGTGAGGCAGACACCTTGTCTACTTTTAAGACTAGGCTTAAAGCATTTTTATTTGATAGGGCCTATGGTTAAAATCTGATGTTAGCCTAGATCTGGACAAGTGGGGGAGTAGAGGGAGGTGGAGTGTACAGTCAGTAAAGATGGCTCTCCCTTGCCCTGCCTCCAACATGCCTCCATCTAAAAGGCTAGGTTATCCAGAGTTATCTCTGTAGTTATGCTGCTATAGGCTTAGACTGCTGGAGGATACACTGACCACTTTCCACACTCGACTACTTTCTTCTACAATCTGCTCTTTAACTGTATTATTTTCTGCAATTTCAGCTGTTAACTTTATTTTTTCTCTAAGTGTTTTTCTCCCCAGAAGAAGCTACAATGATGTTCTGCTGAGCTGTGGTGGCCTCATGTAGGGGGCCATCGTCTAGCACATTGCTGCTAACCACTTAAACGTTCTCCCTCTCCTGATATTAACACTTTACTCTCTTTGACGTTGGATGTGCTACTACTAGTTTACCCGTTTAATTATAGATTCATTAGGATAAATACAATAAAGTTTATCTCTCACCAAATAGAATATTTACTAAGACATCACAATGTAACCATAGAAACACTACTTGGTGTGTGTGTGTGTGTGTGTGTGTGTGCGTGTGTGTGTGTGTGTGTGTGTGTGTGTGTGTGTGTGTGTGTGTGTGTGTGTGTGTGTGTGTGTGTGTGTGTGTGTGTGTGTGTGTGTGTGTGTGTGTGTGTGTGTGTGTGTGTGTGTGTGTGTGTGTGTGTGTGTGTGCGTGTGTGTGTGTGCGCCTGCTCGGTCTTCTCGATCCCCAGTGAGTCGTGGTGGATGGCTGCTTATACTGAGCCAGGATCCTCTGGAGGTTTCTTCCTGTTAAAAGGGAGTTTTCCTCTCCACTGTCGCTATATGCTTGCTTAGTATGAGGATTGCTGTAAAGACTCTGACACTAGTCAGTGACTCGATGCAACCTGCTGGGTTCCTTATATAGGAAACATTATTTCTGATTGGCTTAATGAACTGACCTGAATTGGAATGTTTATTATGTGAAGTGCCTTGAGACGACTCTTGTCGTGATTTGGCGCTTTATAAATAAACTTGAATTGAATTGAATTGAATAGAATAGAACTGAATTGAATTGAATTGAGTTGAGTTGAATTGAGTTGAATTGAATAGAGCTGTTGCCTTGCAGCAAGGAGGTCCTGGGTTCACATCCCGACCTGGGATTTCTGCATGGAGTTTGCATGTTCTCCCTGTGCATGCGTGGGTTCCCTCCAGGTACTCCAGCTTCCTCCCACAGTCCAAAAGCATGACTGTCAGGTTGATTGGTTTCAATAACAAATTTTATGCATATAATTAGTAAAACAGCCGCTGACAGGAAATTAGTGAACAGTTTTGTTCATGTTTAGATTGTTTATAGAGTCAGAAGAGAGGAAAGAGAAGAAGAAAAGGACACATTAATCACATTTTCATGAATAAATAATGAGGCTGAGGCTGCTATCACCATATGATCAGATGTGGTAAGGACCAGATCATTTTTTGGGCCCAAAAGGCTTACAGTAGCAGTATATTTATTTGGGGTTGTCATAACTAGATCACCGTGGGGTCAAGTACGAAACAGCTGTTGCTTGAGGTATGAAACTGCCCTGCAAAGTAATCTCTGCTACCCCAGCAGCAGGTCCAGTTAATGACGACCTGAAGACAGACATTATTAAACCTGTTCTCTCCTCCCCTTCTTACTTTCACCACAAATCCCTTTGTGGGTCCAGGCAAGCCTCTCACTACTCACGCTGTGATATTACAGATCTCAGCCGAAATCACGCAACGGGCACCTTGAACCACAGAAATCTCCCAAAACAGTCTAAATGAAAACGCCAGCTAGAGTCCTAAGACTTAAAGCGTCTGGTTACCATTCACATAACCGCCAATTACAACATTAAAGGGACAGTTCAGATCTTTTGAAGTGAAGTCAAAATGCTACAAAGAATTCGATCTTTGAAGGGCATCTGTTTGGAAAACACAGTGACGCAGTTGGTAGCTCTGTTCCACTAAATCCCTCTCACATACAGCAATCTCAGCAGTTTTATTCTTCACTGTTTCTGCTGTACCTTCTGGAAATAGCCGCTGCTGGCCACGCCCACCCATCCCCTTATTATTTGCTAAGAAGTTAGAGGCTCAGATGTCTGGGAGGGACTCAGAGTAGAGCTGCTGCTCCTCCACGTCCAGAGCAGAAGCCTCCCTAAGCAACGAGAAAGGGTGGGTGGTTCTATGCTGATGTCCCTTATTGTGACATCACAATAGGGGACATTTTCAAATTGCTAATAGAAGCAAATGTTTCCTGACGCCAAACACTGACAGAAACTGGATGGACTATTTGTATTGGTGTGGATCCATTGGAGAGTTTATGGAGGCAGTAGAGGTCCACATGGCAGGGCAAAAAATGCAAAAGTTAAATTTTGCATAATTTGTCCTTTTTTAAAAGTGTCGACACGAACCCAGGGTTTCCCCCAGCGTTTTATAAGGCTGGCCACCCGCCAGGCTAAGCATCATGCCCCGCCCACCTCCCCGACCCTATCGTGACTGCTGACACGAACGGCGAAGCAAAACTGGAGCCCTCCATCTGGTGAAAAACAGCAGCGGAACGTGTGCAACCCCCCCCCCCCCCCCCCCACACACACACACACACACACACACACACACGAAGGAGCGCTGCGGGATGGAGAGTGCGATCCCCCACACCTCCCCCGACAGCTGAAGCTGCCGGGCTTAGCTCATTTTCTGAGGGAAACCCTGCAAACCGCTATACCAATTTGAGATTAGAGCTTTTTTCAGCCGGACCCAGAACTCTCTTAGCTCGTCTGTCTGGTCAGGCTAAATAGATTAGCTCACTCAAAGAGAATAAAGATTTACAGTTCATACTTTTCCCCAAAACCCCATTAGCAAAGATCTGACCTAGCCCTTCAATAACAGGTGATTCCTCAGACGTGCTCAGTGATGCTGCATCAACCTACTCCAAGATCAAATTAACAAACCATTTTTATCAACTCGTGCAACAATACCAGTGTGTACAATATCACACTCCAAACTGATGACATCACGGTGAACTTTACCTTGAAGCATGCAGCGGTACGCCGACTCGGAGATGGCGTAAATGTGCGGGGGCATCTCATGCCTCTTCTTTCCTCGGTACATCTCAATGATGTTCTCTGAATAAATGGGCAGGTTCTTGTAGGGGTTGATGACCACGCAGAAAAGGCCGGAGTATGTCTGCAATTACAATAAATAATACAAAAACAACATAAGTAGGGCGGAAAGGACGTCAAATTGGTAGATCGGTGTTCTGTGATTTAAAGGCAGGTGTGCATTCCTACTGTTTCACATCATCGGGCATGCATTGTATCAGTCGGCCAAGGCTTATCATTACACACTTTTTAAGAGGTGACATCATCAGAGCAGGCGTGTAACCCAACATCAGACACATGACAACTAAACAAACACTGAACATCGGTCTTTGTGCCCCAACAAAAAGAGGCCCCAGGGCTGTAATAGGAGCACATATGCCTGAAGCGTGTCTGTGTGAAGTGAGCAAAAACGAGCATGCCCTGCAAATGTTTAGCTTCCTTTCTGACTCGCGGCGTTGCAGTTGGCATTGCAGTTTCTCTCCAGAGACTGTGTGTGGTATGAGAACTTCTCAGCTATGCTGTAGGATAAAGCAGCTATCCAGGCCTGAGAGAGAGGCCCTGGTGGGGCAGCAGATGCTGCAGGGACCTCTACATCCCCCCTACAGATGACACAGAGCTCAAGCAGCTAGAACCGTCGCCGTCAGACATTTTGGGGCTTTTCCTGCTTTTGTGTACCTAGCACATATGTGAGCATACAGCACATTGTTGCAGAATGTAAACGTCATCAACAGCTGCATGTGTAGTGCATACAGACAGAAGAGTCCTAGCGAGAGACGGAAAGTTGATTAACTTTGTATTTCTTTCGAAAAAAATCTTTGACTATTTCAAAAGCCACTTATTGTGAAGCCACAGATCGTAAATATCAGCCAATATATGTTCCACACTGATCTCTTGGGATCAAACACATCCTTCATGAACTACATCGGAGGCTAAGGCAGGGGTGACTCAGCAGCCTTTTGTTCACAAAGGGGCCCTGGAGAGCACGCTGTAGCCGTTACGTAACCGCGCAGTTAGGGCTCTCAGTCAGCACCGAGCAACTGATGCTGATGCAGAAAACAGGAGGCGAGGGAGGGAGGAAGAGTGGAGAAATGATCCAGCTGACCGGTCTAATTTAGTGGAAAGGTAACACAGACGGAGCTCAGAGACAGAGGCCTTGCTGAAACTCTACCTCTGCACTCTCGTTTTTGAGGCTAATGAAAAATGTATTTCCCTGCATCTGAACCTGGAGCGGCTATAAATAGAGGTATTTTCTGTTCTCCCAGTTCAGTTGTGCAGCATGGAGATCAGTTTTAGGCAGCTGGAGCGGCTGCGGCTTCATTTGCCACCCCGGCATGACAAGCAAACAACAAACACAACACCGCTTTTGCCAGGAAGAAATCCTCGGCTCATCCAGGAAAGAACGTGATATTTCCACAGTGAAACCAGATCCAGGGGAGGGGACTCTGTGGCCTGGTGACAGCTGAGCAACACATGAGCGACAGCAGACACAACAGCCGGGCCCATCTGCCACCTCGTAGCACGGGCTGCCATCGATCTGTGTGGAGTACACGAGACTTTGACCTGTGCCGATGTGCTGATTTCATAATAAAAGCTAACAAATGGTTAAACCCAGGATCTAAAAACAAGTCAGTGCTCTCAGATGCATAATATCTAATTACAGGACAAGTGGAGTCCTTTTGGACACATTTTAGGACAGAGACATTCCTAAATCACGGATCAGCAGTATTACACACTTTCCTAAAAAAAAACACCAGGACATATTAATGATGCACAAAAGCCACGTGAGGACTTTGCACCACATCTGAACTCGTACTTTGGGATCAAACTAAGAGCTTAATAATTATTCTGCAGGATTAATTACTCAGGGAGTCCGAGGAGGCATAGAGACTGTGAGAAAAGACGAGGAGGTGATGAAGCTGAGAGCGGCATCAGAGCTGAAGTGGGCGGCAGGAGGCAGACGGACGGACGGGCCTTCTTGCCACGGAGGAATGCTGAAGTTTTCTGACAGCTGAGGCTTATCTAACAACACAAAGGCCTGCTTGTGGCGCTGCTGGAGTGTCGCTGCCCTGCATGTAGCACTGCAGCGTGACTCACCAGCTCACAGATAGAAAGTTATAACAATAGATGTTGGCTCAAAAAGGTTGACAGACTTCACATTAATAAAGATGACCAAAGCATGAGACAGCACATGATAGGTTAAATGTTAAAATGCAAAGGAGGGGATCTTAATTATCGCCCGCTGCTCCCGTTTTAAGTCGTTTCTGCATGTGTAATTTTAGTTAAATAAAAAAGCCTGGACGTTAGCTAAATATGTCTTAAACCACGGGAGGACTTTAGATTCATCTTTCAGAGAGTCTTCACCAGTGGGGAATTCACAATCTTAGTACAGCTGGATCTTTCTGCAGCTTTTGACACTGTTTCTCACAGCACCTTCATTTACAGACTCGTGACTCGATGGGGATCTCTGGAACTGTTGAGGTTCAGGTCGTACCTTTCTAACTGAAGTTTCAGCGCCCTTATAAAGCCAATAATGTCAGATTCCACCAATCTGTTCTGTGGGGTACCCCAAGGTTCTGTATTGGGATACTTCTATTTCTACTACTACTACTATATATATATATATTTAGGCAATATCACATGAGAGGGAGTGTTGTTGCTGAATATCAGCACTGGCGTGATTCGAGACCGCAGGCCGAGTGCCGTAGATAATCACACCAGTGCTGATATTCAGCAACAACGCACAACCTCTCGTGTGATACTGCTTTTATACAACTGTTCTACCTGCTCATTTTATTTTTATGACAATAAGCAACAACCGATTATGATTTGTTTATTTGTTTAATCACTTATCAGGCTCTGCCAACACAAATAGTCCCAACACAAAACAGAGACTCAGACAAGGCTGTTGCTAGGCAACAGGGTGGTTGCGTGCTCCGTCCAACATATATATATATATATATATATATATATATATATATATATATATATATATATATATATACTTATATATACTTATATATATGTTGCTTATTACATATATATATATATATATATATATATAAGTATATATATATATGTGTGTGTGTGTGTATGTGTATATATATATATATATATATGTAATAAGTAACATATACATATAAGTATATATATATATATATATATATATATATACACACACACATATATATATATACTTATATATATATGTTACTTATTACATATATATATATATATATGTAATACGTAACATATATATATATATATATACATATATATATATACATATATATATATACACACACACAGACACATATATATATATATATATGTAATACGTAACATATATATATATATATATATACATATATATACATACACACACACAGACATATATATATATATATATATATATATATATATATATATATATATATATATATATATATATATAATAAGTAACAGTGCATTGTGAAACACAAACCTACAGGTGGCAGTAGCTCCCCCAATTTCTGGCCTCTTTACTTTTACTAAGAGGCGGGTGATAAATGTCCTTAATGTTGTCCTGGTCAAAACAAGCTAGCAATAGTAAACGCATGTCGCACACATCACACCAGTGCACTTTTGCCTGCAATCAGTTTCATTGTGAAACTTAAAACTCCAGTTGTTTACATCCCCAAGCAAATGCTGACTGCGGTAGAATTCACAAATTTGGTCAGAGTTTTTGAAAGAATCAAATTCGGTGGCATTTATCTTCTCTTTTATGTGGATGGAAGACCAAAACGTAAAAAATATCTTTGTTTTGTGAAGTACCTGGCTACGTGTGGGCAGGGTCTTAGTTTGATACTCTAACATGAAAGACAGCTGGTGTTTTAAGGAATGTTTCAATTAAAAAAAGATATATCACACTTGTTAGCAATATTAGATCTTTATTTGTCCTTTAAGTTTGATTTGAGTCTAACAGTAAATTTGTGCACTGGCTGAAACGGGAAGCGACCTACTCCTACCGCCACTCTTCAACATTCATGTGTTCTCAAAGTTTGAAAACAATTATGACAAAAGCATGTGACATGAGGTCCCAAGATATTTCAGCTAAGCTTTTTCTCAAGTGACAAAAAGCCTTTATTACTTTTGTACCACATAGAGACAGAGCTGGAACAGAAAGCGTTTCATGTGTTTTTGATCCACCAAGCAACCTGTGTCCAGGAGTGATGTAGAGCTAAGCCAAAACAACAGAATAAACATAGTAAAACTACTTTCCTAAAGTATGCGTAAAGGGAACATGTCATGAAAAATCAGATTTTTGGAGCTTTTTACCATGTGATTTGTTATTTCCTCATGAAAAATAAAAAATTCATTTTGTCTGCATGCATGCATTTTCCTAGCCTAGTGAACTAGACCAAATTTTTGCTTTGCAAAGTTTGGTCTAGGAACGCTCCACTTGTACCCTCTGCATCCTAGCTGGCCAATCACAGCTCTCTAGAGGAGTTTCAAACACATAGAGAGCTGTGATTTGTCCATAATGGTGGGCCAATCATAGCTCTCTATGTGTTTTGTGAACCAATCACAGCGCTTTATCCGCTTTGTGGGCCAATCAGGGACCTCTATTCATCTGGTGGGAGGGATGATGCAACAGAGTGAAAAAAGATGGCGACAGCTCGTTTGAAAAGGCTTTTACATCAATTTTGGACAATTTGGACTATTTGGACTTGGGCTTCATTAGAATCGGGAGCAGATAGATGTATTTAAGTTATTTTTTTTAGAAAAAAAGGATGTATTTTCACCTTCTTCAACAGCGGACTGCCTCGTTTACCGACATCCATTGTTGTGAGTACGTCACGTTGTTCATTGTCCAGTAGCGTGCGGAGATCATTTGAAAGACAGCGGTAGAACCCGCCCCACGACCGAGAGCCGTCAATGGAGCATTGCCAGACTAAATAATGCATTTATTTAGTCTGGTTTGCCAGGCTAGCGTTATCCTGTCTCAGCTGCAAATTTTCAGATTTTTGGAAACACCTCCAAAAGCCTTGATGGAAACCAAGTGCGTCAGCAGGCCCTGCTCCTCCCCCTGAAGCTAGTCTCGTATCT